CCCGGGACCTGCAGCTCCCACCGCAGAGCGCTGCCGGCGATTAACGGCCGCGCGCCAGGAGGCTGTTATCTTTTATCTCAGGGTCTCCTGGAGAGCAGCATTTCTCCGTGGTCGCCCAGTGACACCTCACCCTGGCACAGACCGTCCTGCCAAGGCCCCGGGTGCACTTTACACTCGTGATTCACGGGCACCGGCAGGCAGCGTCTCCCTGCCTCTCCCGGGAGCTCGGAGCCGGCGGGTGTGGGCGGTGGCAGGGGAGCAAAGTCAACCCAGAGAGAGGCAGGTTAGCGGGTCTGGGCGGCCCGGCCTCGCCGGCAGCTCGTCCTGGACCTCCTGCCCAGCGGAGGGCTCCCGGCTTCCCCTCCGTTTCCTCCGAGGGCGTCCAAGTGCAAAGTACTGAGGGCCCTTCCCGCTCACCTGGGCAGTACAGAAGACAGGGCTGCTTTATGTTGCTGTCGCGTACCACCTGCTTGAGACCCGTGCCTGGGCACCCGGGAAGCTCTGACCAAAGAGTCGGGGAGTGAATGAATGAACGCTTCCCAGGGATTTGGGCCCGACTGCTGACCTCTGAGAACACCTGGACGCCCTTGGACCCCCTCCCTTACCAGCGTCCCCCCGCCAGAGGGAGGGACGACACGCAGAGGCAGGGCTCCACCTGGCACTGGGCACCTGTGCTGGACTGGGGTGCCAGGGACTCCCTGCACGGCCCGGGGACTCCCCGGGGACTCCCCGAATGGCCAGCTCACGGGCCAGGCCACACGGAGGGCACGGGTGGTCGACATAACACACGTCCCAGGTCCTCTGACGTTCCCCCCCGGGACTACTCCCCTAACCAGCTGCAAAAGTCACAAGGGTGTCACGACCTCCACCCGGCTCTCTCCCTCCGGGACACCAGTCCTCTGAACACGGCCACCGTGCTGGGAGGAAGCCCGAACGAGCCCGCACGCAGAGATCACACAGAGCAGCCAACGTGGAGAGAATCTGAGGCCTCACAGCCACGGCCAGTGCCAGTCACGGACACGTGAACGCACGAGCCGAGAGATGCCCGGAGCCCCAGCCTCCCGGACTGGCCCCAGCGGACCGGCTGAGTGCTGACCCACGGAACCCACGGAACCCACGAGCGCCACAGATGGTCGGTTGTGTGCACCACTCAAAGCTGCAGAATCTGCCGGAGCCCCCAGAACTGAGCTGATGCGGGAGCTTCTGGAGCCCACCCCCACCCCTTCCACGCTGCCCCGTCCGTGAGTCCCAGTCGAGGAGTGGGGCGTGGAAGACATCCTGGAGGGTCATTTGTCACCGAACAGGACAGATGCTTCGTGGGGGGCTCTGCTTCAGTGTTTGGGCCCCGTGCCTTGAAAATGAGGGAAACCCAAGGCTAGGGTTATCTTCTGTTCCCGCCGGGCTAGAACGTAGATCGTTTCAGCATCATCCTTTCCGTGGAATTAAAATATCCTTCGTGTACACGGTAAAATGACTTGGACTGAGGGATGGCTGGAGAAAGGGTAAACGAATCCACGAAGCAGCTAAAAAGAGAAAAGGGGTAGAAGGTGGTTTCCAGGTGTGCCCGGACCCAGGAGGGGTCAGAGCTGCTCAGACCGCTGGCTGGGTCCACTGCCCTCGGCCGCATGGCCCCAAACCAACCACCGGGGTGGACGTACCAGGCACCCGCACTGTAGGAGACCAGCGTGGCTCCGGCCCTGCCCTTGGAGGCTTCTCATCTACTTGATGGCACAGGAAGTGCAGGGACAGAGAACCAAGGATACAGGGTGCTGAGGCCAGAAGATGCCACGTCAGCTGGATGGTCCGTAGAGGGAGAATTTTAACTGATCCTTAACCAGGTCAGCAACCTGAGCCCCACGATTTGAGCGGGGGCCCACCGTGACAGTCAACCACACACCTGCTCTCCCCAGGGAGAAAGTTCTCCCCTTTTCTGGCCTTCCTCAGCCCTTCTGACTAGTCCCAGGAGAGCACCTGGATCCGGAATGTCTATAACCACTCTCACACAGTCTCCCTTTTGGAGCTGAGAGGCAGAGGCCACAGGCTTAGAGCCTCGGGCAGGCCATAGAATCCACATAGGATCTCTTTCTCACTCTTCTTTTGTTACACCGTGGTAAAATATATATAACATACGATTTCCCCTCGTAACCATTTTAAGTGCACTGTTCAGTGGTACTAAATGCATTCACATTCTTGTGCAGCTATGGGCTGGGCCCCTCTCCATAGCTCTTGCGTCACGTAAAACTGAAACTCTGTACCTATTAAACACTAACTCCCCGTGTTCTCTCCCCCACGGCAGACAAGCCTTTTGTGTCTGGCTTCTTTCACTTAGCACGATGTCCCCAACGTTCATTCCTGCTGTAGCAGGTGTCAGAATGCCCCTCCCTCTGAAGGCTGGATAGTATTCCCTTGGAGGTATAGGCCACACTTGGCTTAGCACCTGTTGATGGACACTGGGTTGCTTCCATGTTTTTTAGCTGTTGGGAATAACGCTGCCATGGATGCGGCTGTGCGAACATCTCTTCCGGACGTTGCTTTCGACCCTTCTGGGTGTATGCCCGTAGGCGGAGTCGCTGGATGAGATGGTAATTCTGTCTTCAGTGTCTTGAGCAACCTCCATACTGTTTTCCACACTGTCGGCACCATTTTGCATTCCCACCAACGCGCACGGGGGTTCCGGTTTCTCCCCGTCCTCGCCCACACTTGTTTCTTCGTTTTTGATTTTTTTTTGATAGCAGCCATCCTGGTGAGTGTGAGGCAAGGCGGTATCTCACTGTAGTTTTGATTTGCATTGCCCCACATGATGAATGATGTCAACTGAGCATCTCCTCGTGACGTGTCTATTGGCCTTTTGGATGTCTTCTTTGGAGACGTGTCTATCCAAGTTCCATGCCGATTCTTGAATCTGGTTGTTCCTGTTGTTGGACCTAGGATTCGGTGATGTCCTCACTGCACTTACCTTTACCTTTGTCTTGTATTTGTGGCAAGTGACGCCGGATTTTCCATGTGTGGTGGTGAAGAGAATTCCTTTCGAAAGTAATTTATTTAAGTAAAAAAAAAAAAAAGTAACCTGAATTAAAATGTGAAGCGGTCATCGTAAAGGTGGTTTGGAGACTTGGCAAGATGACGAAGCTGGTTTGCCGATAACTGAAGTCTGGAAAGATCTCATTAAACTAGGCAAGGAGGAGGGGCAGGTTGGAGGGGAGAGGGCAGCAGGGGGAGGGCAGAGAGGAGAGGGGAAGGAGGATGTGCCCTCGTGGTTTGATGGTGGCCGGGTGTGCGGAGGGAGGAGGGTTTGAGAAAATCGGGAGTAGTCTGTGAGTCAGTACTCTCAAGCTTCCTCATCCTGTTTCTGCTGGATTATCTGTCCACTTAATGGCTCGTTGGTGGATTCCTTAGCCATAACCTTGAAGGCCACTGTAGGAACCACGGGTTATTTTTGGCCACCCATCCTTCGTCCGTGTGCTCGGTGGGCCTGGGACTCCCAACGCAGGCTTGTGACTGGGATCTGGCCAATCAATAGATCCTGTCTGCTTGGCCACCGCGATCAGTTCAGGGCTGGGCGAGGTTAGACGAATCGGTCGGTCTCAGGACTTTTGCTAAAACACTTGAGAGAGAAGTTCTCTATTCACTGGGATTGTGGAGGAGAAAGGAAATGTACCCGCAGCTACGGGCAGCCATCTTTGCCACCTTGAAGAAAGACCTTGCCTGGCGGTGGACCCAACACGGAGGAGAGGGGAGCCAAGAGCTGGAGAGACTGGGTTGGTGTCCTGTTTGGAGCTGGATCTGTCTGGGCCTGAAATCCGTACTATCCCTACACCTTTCATTTGTAATAGCTCATCATTTCTTTTTTGTTTCAGCTTCCTTGGGATTCTGTCACTTTCGAAGGAAAAAATAATGCTGGCTGGAACACTACCAGTCCACCCGGACCTCCGGCTAAACAGTGTGCGAGGGAAACGGACAATTCACGTGACTCGATGGTGAGCCCATGGTGAGGGTTTCAATCACGGTTTTGCCCTTGTGACAGCTCAAAACACCTCATACTATCACTATCCCCATTTTCTAGATAAAAAAGGCTCACGCTTATAGAGGCTCAAAAAGGCTAGAGTGACCGGCCCATGGTCACACAGCTATTAAAGTGGCAAAGTCAGGATTCAGATTCGGTATTATCCAATTCCAGGGATGGAGTTCATGGCCATCGGGCAACTGCCTCTCAAACTCCTTCCCCGGGTCTATAATCATCCTCACTTTCTCCTGCGTATCGTTGACAAATCGTCACCTCGCCACGCGTCTAGCTTCTTATTCCCGGCCTCTCTGATGGAAGGTCACTCGAAGGACCCTGTTCCCTCTGCAGTGGACACTAATAAGTGGCCCCTCTCCTCCTCCAGTATCTGCCAACCCTCCCTGGTGGTCTCCACCACGGAGCACGCCCCCGAGGGGAGCGGTGTATCAGGACGCTTCCGGGATCCCGCCAAGTGCAGGGCAGGGTCGTTCCGTTTACTTTCCATCCACTTCTTCCAAGCAGGCAGATACGCAGCTGGATCTTTGAGACTGTACCTCTCACTTGAACTTGGATTCAGAATCCAGCCGTTAAGAATACTGTGACTTATCTAGATAAGCATCGCCTCCAGTTAGCTCTTCATGTGCTTTATGACTCTTTTGAAGATTGTTTTCTTTTAAATTTAGGGGATTTAACTAAGAGTAGCGTAATACATTATGTAGTTTTCCATTACCCTGGAGTTTCTTCCTCCTGACCAGCCTAACCAGCGGAAGCCTGGACTTGCTCAGAAGCCAGATAATTAAGTGCCTTTCTACAGCATCCAAGCCCTAGCTGGGCACCTCCTTGTCAGCATGGGGCTCATTGTAAGACACCCTGCAGGATGTACGCGGCTCCAACCTCCTTGTGTTAAGAGAGGCATTCATCGTGTATAAAGTTCCCACTGAAGTGAAATGCCCTGCCAAATTGCGTGCGTTGAAGGGCTAAAAGAAACCGGTTGATCTCATGAAGGAACCTGACAGTGAGTCTAGCAAAACCCGTTTAAAGGAGCTCCCAAATTTTGCCTGCATTTTCCGTGGTGGACGTTTGCCATTGTTACCCCTTCAACATCCTGTTCCACCAGGTCTGGACTATATCTTCCCTTGAGAAACTACCTCTTCCCACACTCTGTGCAGCTTGTGTGGGGCTCCAGGGCTAGGCTTATGTCTGTGGACTAAACAGAGCATCACAACACCTTTGAGACAGGCAGACCTCCGGAATAATAAAAATAATACATTTGTGTTGTTTTAAGCCACTGAGTTTGTGGTAATTTGTTCTAGCAGCTAGAGGAAATCAACACAACCTTGAATACAACGATTGGTTGGAGGACGGGGCCGTGAGCCAAGCCCAGCCCCATCAGAGCCAATGAGATTCAGTTCTGGGACTTTGAATGTTTTTTTCCGTGGAGTTGCTGAGCGAACCAGAGGGAAGCCTGAAGGTGCTGGCAGCCATCTCGTCACCACGAGGAAAAAGTCTGTCCAACACAGAGAGAGCAGAAGTAGAAAGTAGGAGTAGGGAGCTGAGACTATGGGTGGAGCCCCTGGGTCCAACATGGCACCCAGGACTCTTCACCTACATCCACCAGTACATTCCCATCTTTGTTTAAGCCAGCTCAACCTAGGTTTCTGCTACCTGTAGCCAAAAGCATCCTGATGTTTTGCCCCAACTTATCGCGACCCTGGATGGAGTAGCCTGTCGAGACAGCCGGTGCAGACATGAGGGGGTCAACAGGTATCAGCTGGCGATAGATGTAGCTGCCGATGGTTGTCTCCAGAACAGCAGCAGCACGGGCAGGCTCGTTGACCTGGACAGGGGATGGGAGGTGTCACCAAAATATTTAAAACCTGTCCAGAAGATCTGAGGCTCCACGCTTCTAGCAAGCGAGACACGAGTGCTCATCCAAAACCATTTCTTGTGGCAGCAGAAATACACAGCGTGGAGGGGAGGGAGGGCCGCCCCAACCTTGAAACAGCACGTTAGACCGCCATCAAATGCAATGCCAGCCCGGAGCCCCGTGCCACCCGGCACAACAACGTGCCCCAGAGGGACCATTTCCTGAGAGAGAGACAGAGTCTCCACCTTCAACAGCATCAGCCCTCGGCGGAGGCAGGTTTAGTTTGGGAACCCCCGTCCTACGCGTCGGGACCTGTTTTTCTTCAGCGACGCCTCCAACTCATACCTCCCCGAGCCCCTCCCAGGAGCCCCCACCTGGACCGCTCACCCATACAAACACACCCTCTCCACTTATCTCGACATGCGTGCTTTTAACGGGTGCCTTCAGTGCCTGCCGGAGGTGGGAATTTCAGGCATCCTAGTAGATTCGTGGGAGAGATGCTTTTGAGCAAGTTAAGTCAACATGCCACCACGCACCTGCCTGTTTTACCCACCTTGAAGTAGCCTTGACTCTTATCAGAGGAATTCATCACAAACTGTATCCTTCCTAAGCTCATAACGTGGTGAGTTCCTGTGTCTGCCCAACACGACCAGACTCTGGATATGGGGAACTTGGTTCCAGTGGCTTTCCAACGCCTTGATCTGTTTGCAGAAGAAAAATATTCACGCAAGCACTCTCCTCCATTCCCTCTGCCCCATTTGCATGAATCCTACCCAAAGCCACTTGAAAACCCAAATGCTGCCCCTTCTAGGAAGTTCTCCCTGATTTGCTTGCTTACAGGAAATACCTTCTGACCCTCTTACACCTGTTTATAGCCTCTAAAGACTTGTAGCAACACGTAACGGTAACACTCCTGGGCTGTGGAGCCAGACCTGGCTGGGTGGAAATCCTGGCTACCAGCCTTGCCAGCTGCGTGACCTTGGCCAAGTCACTTCACCTCTTTGAGCCTCGGTTGCTTCGCTTTTGAAATGGGGATAACAGTAAGAACTACCTAGTAGGGCCAATGCATGGATTAAATGAGGGGATGTAGGGAAACGACTGAATACGGGGCCTGACCCAAAATGAACAAGTATTTAAAAAGGGTTAGCCAGGGGCGCCTGGGTGGCGCAGTCGGTTAAGCGTCCGACTTCAGCCAGGTCACGATCTCGCGGTCCGTGAGTTCGAGCCCCGCGTCGGGCTCTGGGCTGATGGCTCGGAGCCTGGAGCCTGTTTCCGATTCTGTGTCTCCCTCTCTCTCTGCCCCTCCCCCGTTCATGCTCTGTCTCTCTCTGTCCCAAAAATAAATAAAAAACGTTGAAAAAATTAAAAAAAAAAAAAAGGGGGTTACCCGGCTGTAGTGGCAGCTATGGTTAGAGTTGTACTCATACTGTTCTCTCCTGGTAGATAAGACGTCCTTGGAGGACGATGTGTTTGTCATCTACGGCCACGACAGTGTATGTCACAAACATCCCCACACCATAATGATGGCGAGAAAGAGCGTTTGTCCACGAGGCGGCTCTGCGCTCCTGCTGGGCTCACTGGCGACCAGCTGGCTTCTGGGAGATCCAGGTTGACTTTGGGTGGGAAAAAACTGATGACCGAGGTCTGCTCCGTTTGCTACTCATCCTCTAGCAGCCCAGCCCAGGCGTGTCCTTCCCACGGCAGAGAGGGGCCTCAGAGACAGCAAACGCGACGCACAGACCCTTTGCAGGCCTCTGTCGATACCACGTCTGTGAACGTCCCACTGGCCAAGGCAGCTCCCGCAGCCAAGCTCTTGTGACTCGGAGGACACGGCCAGGCTACGGGGTCAAGGGCATGGTAAGGGAGGTGTGAAACCCACCACGGGCAGGGACCGAAATCCTACAGGAGGCATAAAATGGCACCTCGATCCTGAGAAATCGGTAGTCAGCGTTGGTTGACCTGAACATGAATTTGGGCCCCAAGGTGCAAAACGTGAGAATCAGCAGCAATTAAAAATAGAGGAGTGCGTAGAGTACAGGTGATTCATGGTCACTGGGGTCATGGGTGAGGAGGGCTTCCTCACCCGGCTAGCTGCATCGCCTTACATGGACATATTTAAACTTCCACTCCGAGGGTCAGAGGGAAAAATACCTGTTGGATTTGCCTACGTTCTGTGCTGTGTCACACTCTTGCCCCTCCTCACCTCGGTCTCCCTCACACCCAGGGACCGTCCGGGCTTGGGGGACAAGTGCAGGAACCAAGGGTGAGAGGGACCTGAAAACAGGTAGGGTGAAGGAGCAGAGACGGCCTGGGAGCGGGGAAAGGCAGGACAGAATCTGAAGGCGCCGCCTGATTCTCGAACGTACCAGAAGTTCAAATAAGGAAGGGATCCCTCAGAACTTCTGGAGTCGTAGCACAGACGCACTTCCTTCAGAAAGAAATTTCACAACCGGGTTTTTAATGAGCTCCACATTTCCTTGCGTAGGCAAGATTTCTTTCTAAAAGGACGAGAGAAGCCGCCTCTGCAGGACATCAGTTGAACAAAGGAGCAAAGCCGTCGAGTCTGGAAGTCATAACTCAAGTTCAGAAATGCAGTGAGGGTAGGATTTGACCTGATACCTTCCCAGAGCCGGAGAGCAGCGAGCAAGCTCTCCTGCCCGAACGTGGTGACGGACTGGGGCAAGAGAGGGAAACAGTACGGCCTTTTTTTGTTTTGTTTTAACCGTAGGATTAAACTCCTAGTTTCCAGAGGATGTCAACTGGTGTCACAGTGAAAACACAGTCAAAAGGGTTCTAAGTTTGTTCCTTTCATCATTCAACAACTATTTGTTAAGCCCCGACCAGGAGCCGGACGGTGCCCCGGATGGTGCCCCGGACGGTGCCCCAGACGCTGCCGTTGGGACTGCAAACCAGGCACAAGCTTCCATGATGCCCACGTGCAATCGGCAGGAAAGACAGTAAACGGTAAAAACACAAATAATTAACTAATGCGATTTGGGGTTGGGACAAGTTCTATAAGGGAACACGCGTGAAGGGAGAGCTAGAGAGTGACCAGGAAGGCAGGGCAAGGGACCCCACTTTGCACCGAGTGGAGAGGGTGGCACTCTGGGGACAGGCCGGTTAGCAGAAGAGCTGAAGGAGAAGGCCAGCCCTGAACAAAGATGGCGGAGCGTTCTGGACAGAGGGAACCGCGTGCGGGATGAACGTGGGGACAGTGACAAGGCCAGTCCACCGGTCACTCTTCACAGAGTCATCTGACCTCCCTCAGACCCCAGACCAAGACCGGTTGGCTCTCCTGGCCTCTCAGGACTGATCATTTACAACATTCTTCAGAACCGCGACAAAATGCCTACTTCTGGGATGGTCCGGTGACCGTGACCATGATGTTGCTAGAGGGCACTGGCCACGTCTCCCTGTTCAGTGCTGTGACCCCGTACCTGACACTTAGTAGATGCTCCACAGGGACACTCATGCCTTCCCGACACTCTCTCACATCATCCCGACGGCACCCCTACCCAGTGGGTACCACCATTGTCACCACAGCACGGATGAGACCGAGGGAGGAGAAATGACTTGCCAAAGGTCACACAGCTGGGAGGGGGTGGGGTCAGAATTTTAATTCTGGCCTGTCTGACTCTGATTCGTCCAGGGATGGGCACAGGATCCCGTCAGAGCCAATGACATGCCAGGCAACATTTGCCTTACACTTCATCTTTTTTCTCGAAAGGTCTCTACTGGTTGCATCTCCTCCCGTGTTCTCCAATCTTCTCAGTTCCCCGTGGTAGAGAAGCCGTCCCCATTCCCTGCTGTGGCCACCACAGCCCAGAAAGGGCTGGGAGATGCCAGGAGACGCTTACAAGTAGGAAAATGATGAGTTGCGTTGGCCTTTTCCTCAAGTTTACGAATAAGTGATCACCTCATGCCAAACGCTCACGGCAGGTACTGTCGTGTGATAGCTCAGCCCACGAGGGAACAATCCATGGACCACCAGCGACTAGGGAGCAGTGTGCCTGGTGCCTGGGGGTACGCAGAAGTGAGACACTTCTCTGCACCTTAGAAGCGTGTGATCAGCAGGGGAGATGAGGGAAGACAGGGAATTGCTAGACCACGACGCGGGGCGGGAGTGACGAGGGGCTCCCGGTGTCCGCGGTCCGTAGGCTGACGCACATCCTGAAGCCGCGAGGCCAAGTGTGAGCATGGCCTGCGGACCGTGCGGCAGGACGTCACACACTCATCCTTGGGCCCATCGCCGCCACTCCTCTGCCACCACTCACTCAATATCTCTCTGACCCCACAACGTCTCTCCTCCAAATTTTTGCCTTCGAAAGAGACAATGTCCTTTACACAAACGGAAACCAGTTTCGCGTGCCCTACAGAGAAAGTAACATAACATAAATGCAAGTGCAAAACAGCCCGATCAAATGTCTAACCAGATATGATTGTGTGCCAAAGGCTCTCAGCTCTTGGCTGGCCCTCTCTTTGTGCAAAAAAAAAAAAAAAAAAAAAAAAAAGCAAACCATCATCAGGGAGGTGTTCAAGGTAAGCTGACTGCAGAGGGAGCGGGTCCTGGAGGCAGAACCAGGGAGGGGCCTTATGATGGGATTAGTGTCCAGGCCTTGGCCCCATGGCCCCACGCCCCCAGAGCTATCTCCCACACACACTGGAGCCTGCCTGCGGGGAGCCCTGGGCCAGGACATCCGTATCCGGTTGGTTTTCGACGCCACTCACCACGCTGGCTATGAACACCCTACTCAGCTCTCCAAATCTGTGTCCTCCTTGGAAAAACCGTGACGACAGTGACCCCCAGCCGGCTCATGGGGCTGCTGGGAAGAGTCTAAGTGAGGCGACTTACACAATGATACGTACATCTGAACAGCTCTATGCTGGTGACAGCTTTGCTGCCATGCTGACGATGACAAGGGTGACCGGGGAGCCCCGCGAGGGGAGTGGCCCACGCTTGCTCTCAGCTTGTGTGTCGGGCACTTGGCCTCAGATGCTATGCTTACCCTTTAGCAAGGGAGGCGGCATGAGCCCAACAAAACTAAGGGGACTGATGTGACAATGGCCACAACGTCGAGCTCAGGGTGTTGGGCCAGGACAGTCCAACCGAGCCTGGGAATCAGAGAAAGCCGCCCGAGCTGGTGCCGGGGAAGGGAAGAGCAGGGAAGAGGGAACATCCTGGCATGCAAATGAGCAGGGCCGGCCAGCCAATGGAAGAGCAGCTCCGAGCACCCGCCCGGGGATCTCCACCCAGCCTCCCTCTGGGCCAAGGCCAGTGGGCCTCCCAGCCTCCCAGCGCTGGTTGACCTGCTTGATCATGGCTGAGGGTGTGGCCAGACCGGGGCCTGCGGGCCTTCATTCCAAAGGGCGGCCCCGGGCGCCCAGTGGCTGCCTCCACCCTCCATTCCCATCACCCAGTGAACCTTGCTCCCCCTCCTTGGGCTCCTCACTACCGCACAGCCACAGACCCTACCGCCAGGCACTCCCAGGCACGGACTCAAAAGCAACCCCAGGGTCACTTCTTCTGCAGAGTGTAGGAGTTATTGATAAAAGTTAAAAACTTTGATGTATCATGTCTGCTTCAGGGAGGCTTGGGGCACTTCAGGAGACAGTCTGAAGACAATTCCAGAAGACCGCCCATCTCAAAACCAAGAGCTCTACTTTGGCTCCCCAAATGCCTTTGGGACCAGCTTTCCACCACAGTACCGAGTACGAAGCAAACACGGGAAGGATGCCATTTACGTGGCCAGAAATGAAACCCAATAGACGGGAGTCAACAGAGTTATCTACAAATCATTGGTTATGATTAATAGCGATCATTTATTGTCTCTGCTGTGTGCCAGGCACCACAGTAATGAGCTCTTTCCCTATCTCCTTGCTCTGAACCTCCGGGTCAGCCACGGAGTAGATACCTTTCTGATCCCTTTCACCATCTGGGGAACTGAGGCACAGAGATTAGGTAACTTGCCTTAGGTCCTAAAGCTCAAAACAAAGGGAGGCCCTAGGCCAGCCTTGAGGTCTGTCTGACACCACACCCAGACTTCTTATCACGTTCTCACGCTTCCTCGTCTGTGGCAGCACGTCCTTGATGGAAGGGGAGCCCCTTGAGGGGGAGGTCCACGTCATTATCACGTTCATATCCTTAGTGTCTCTCGGTACCTGGCGGGTGTGGACATCCATCCACAGCTCACCAAGCGAGTTTGCTGAACTGAGCTGGCATCCACAAATTGGGAATGAGGAGTGCCTGATTTTGAGATGTGCTCTAATATCTAGGGTTCCTGTTGAAGAAAGTGGACCCAGCCCCTTCTCTAGGGGAGAAGGCAGGAATCTTCCGGCCTTGCAGGCCTGTGTGCCTGTTTCCAGCAGGAGCTGACTTGTGTTCGCCATCTTGGGAGCAGAGGCTGGGAACGTGCAAGGCGGGATCAAGAGGACCCTCTGGCAATGCCACCAGACCTCACGAGGGATCTCCAGCTGCCA